TCCGACTTGCGTTTAGATTTCTTCTTTTTTCTTCTTCTTTTTCATTGTGCTTAGCTGCGGATTATGCTGCGGGTGAAGAAAGTGAAAAAAAGAAAAAGGGCGAGGGTGAATTCGTGCCTGGATGGATTTTGATAACCGTTGCCAGCCGTTTATACTTTATATTTTTTGAAACAACAATGGTCTCTGCGGCTATACTATGATAACTTAGCGCGCAGATGGCCTAGATAATCCTTTAGCGTTTTTGGACCAGCATCTTCAAGTCATAACTGAAAACATTTTTTTAATTTTGGCTGTGTACTCCTTTCTCATATATAATTACAAAAAATATTAGAAGATAACGGAAACAATCGTGTTATTTATTCATTTGGAAGTAATAATAAGATAAAAATTATTTTCATATTAGAGATTACTTTTATGAGACAAAAAAAAATTAAGTATAAAAATATAATTTGGTACTATAGATTTGTGTTTGTATTTACGCGCATAGCGCCTACTGCGCTCAAAACCGAGCAAGCATCATCATTTTCATTTTACGTAAATGGAAGATCGTTGACAAGTTTACTAGATTCAAACAAGACCTTTGCCTCTTTGTGGCTGGACTCGCTCTCGTGCGTCGAGAAAAAAAATCCGCAGCCGAGATGGCGCAGTAAAGACACGTCGAAAAGTCGGCGTTCCCAAACGTGACAAGTACGAAGTGCAGCTTTAACCCTTTAGAATAATTAATAGGGAATGCGCTGTGTGTCGTGCCACGGCGTATAGTACACCAGAGATGCGCAGCTCTCGTGACGCCTATATAGCCGGTCCAAATGGAGCAGTGCAATATCGCATATAAGCGGCGGCGGCGGCTCCGAGACGATCAAATTTATTGCGTCGGACTTGGTGCACTTAGAATGCCGAGAGATCACGCAAGTGCCCCGCGTGCGTGTCGTTGTATTTCTTTTTTCATCGTCTAACGCCCGAATATCAAAAATTTCTATTTAGAAAATAGTTTTTACAGCTATTAGCTGTTCAAAGAATCAATCGAAATATATTCCATTATGAATGCGATTTCTTCAATAGTATGTTACAATAGTATTAATTATATTAATAGTTGATTTATACAATTATTTTGCTCTTTGACGTATGCAAATATTATGACTTTGTCACTTGCGAGTTAACAGATAAAGAGGTACCCGCCATCTAGTAGAGGAAACTTGAAGTAGTATTATCGCATTTTAAGTAGTTTGAAAATTGTTCAATATTTCTTAAAACAGTCAAATTATTCGTCTCAGGTCAATTGAAATATAACAAAACTTAGAATTGAGATTATAACAGAAAACTCGCCAAAAACAATCAAATTAATGGTAATGTATTTTAAAACATGTCAAATTGTTATTTTCGCTAATTAAACAATTATTAGTGTTGAGCATTTTCACCAAAATCTGAAAGTCAAAAATTGACCATTTTATCGAGGAAAACTTAAATTGATGAGAGCGTATTTATTAACACACATTAGAAAAATGGAAAATTTGATGAAAATTACAATTGTTATAGCAAACTAAAAACCATTAATTTAAGAAAATTAATTTTTTTTTGTCAAAAATTTCTATTTAGAAAATAGTTTCGACAACTATTATTTCGAAGAATCAGTAAAAAAATTTTTCTCATGCACTATTTTCGCATAAGTATTCTCATTCACTTGCTGCACATACTGAACCCAACTGAAAAATAACCCTTTTATCCGGGATGACACCAATTCGACAGATCGTTATGATCAGCCGGCCCCGTACATAATAGTCGCACTTTCTCGATTCGTCGTGCACTTCCTCGATCATTACGCAACGATCTCTTCACCTGTACTGTGCGCCAAACATAATGATACACAACGACACGTACCGCGATTCACCTTACCTCGCTCACCTAAGTCGAGCGACAATGAAAAAAAAGTGTCCAACAAAAGCTCGCCTCGCTCGTGCATCCTCATCTGCATAAGTTCCCTAAATTTATTTCCTCGCGCGTATTATAATATTCGTATCCGGAAGAACCTTTTTAGGTGACACGAATACACCGCGCGTACGTTGGATCCGTGCTCGATCGTTTCCCCCTGCGGGCACAACACGATCATCGACGCGCGCGAGCCGTATACTAGCGTCTGCCGGAGCAGATGCTGCCAGACATACACGACGGAAGAGACGTTACGCCATTGTGCCGAGAACGCGTATACGTATCTTTGTAAGTTGCCTGTAGCTCTGTATATAGGCAATAATAAGATCAGAGGACAAAGGGATGAGCATTATCGTTACGGACTAGATTTTTTTTTCTCGTGTGTGTGTGTGTTTTTTTTACTCGTAATACGGCGTGCGCGCGTGGGCTGAACGAGTTGGAGCTGAGGAGAAGACTCGAAGAACGGGAGGAAGAAAGAAATGATTGGCTTAGTTTCCATTCAAGATCATAACATTTGAAGAAATTGATTTAAATTTATATAATTATTTTTACTTTGTCACTTGCAGATTTACAGATATATAAGTACTCGCCATCTAGTGGTTGAGACTTTAAGTACTATTATCGCATTTAAAGTGGTTAAAAACTGCTTCAAAAATTTTATAATCGTTTAAGTTGTCATTTCCAAGTCATTTAAAATGCGCTTAATATTTATATAAAAATTGTAACAGGCTGTGGGCTAATATTAATTTGAGAATTTATACAAGAGAAATCAGCTTTTATATTTTAAAAATGTAACAATTGAGCGCAACTGCGATTTATAGTATAGTCTGTGAGACTTACTTTATCTCCAACACAACAGCAACAATAGCAATCATGTGAATGTTTTTATTTATTTTTACCAGTTGAATATTTGAACAATATTGTCATTCTTTTATTTAACATAGTAATTTTTAGAATAAGCTCATGCAATGAATTATGTAAACAGCTTTACATTCTACGCTTAATATTAATAGATGTGGCTAAAAATTGTTATTCTGAATCTACATTTTATTTCTAATGCTTAATGATCAAATAATTCGTTAAGCTGAAACGGTAGATCTTTGCAAAACAAAAAGCAAAATAATCAATATTTGGTTATTTACAAACGCAAATAAGCGTTTATTGAAAAAAATTCTTATTTTTATTATTACACTACTTAATAATTAGTATTGCATATTAAAAGTTATATTATTACAAATATTTATTCATTGTATCCCCTAAACAATGCATAAACTTGAGGCACGCTCTTTATTAATTAAAACATTTTAGTCGGTAAAAGAGGAACGTGAGTTTCATACTTTACGCGAGTCGTGTCTTCGTAATAATTTAATAATAGTTTTTCAATTGTACAATGACAACAGAGCCATTATATACGATAAGACTTTGCTTACTACCTATTGAAAGAAACTGTTATACTAATTTAAAAATGTATTTTTTGGTCATATTTTACTTACAACTCCACCAATCCTCACATTTAAAGGAAAATTGGAAAAACCAGCTGAGAAAATTGTAGGGTTAGACGTCCTTGTTAATATCATCAGTATAAATAATCTGATTTTGGGAGGGTATAAATACCAGCTGTAAGTGTGATAGCTGTTTCCAAAAAGATATAATTTATGAACCATTTATTCAATCACCTTAATTATATTTATTTACTTTTACCAAAAGTCATCAAGGCGACAATCGTCGAACAGTTCTTGACTTGGATAAATAGCTATAAAAAGGATTACTATCGAACCAAGCACCGAAACTAGTAATATTTTTGCGCACTTTGGATTTGATTTCATTGCCACGACCATCTAGAAGAATGCATTGTATAGTTTTTGAAAACTCATTCGAAACATAATTAATCAACTTACCCAAGATCCACTCATACATCCATTTATAACAAGCACAGAAATAGAAAAAAGTAATGCTCGATTAATAAAATTCTTATGAGAATCAAATAATTTTATACATTCTTGATGATTGTGAATTAATTTTCTGACTCGTTGAAATAACCAATGATTCGCATTTTCATCATTTTCATATAATTTGAACTTGTACTCTCGATCAGTAGTTTTCATCTTCAATCTGACAATTTTAGGTCACGTTATAATTTATATATGAAAATTTTTGATTTTTAAAATCTCACTTCATAATTTGATATTGAATGATTAAAGAAACTACCAAAAATCTGTAGTGAAAAATAAATGCCCCCGATAATAAACCGTACATAAGTAAGTAAAGCATGCGAAAAAACATTAAACTGAAATAATAATCTTCAAAGTCGATAAAAAACTTGAATTCAAACCATAATGGTCTCTTTTCCCACTTAATTAGACCCCAAATCATATTGTGCTCGAGAGAAGTAGCCATTACTACGAATAACACTGTAAAAGGAAACGTTTAATTTATCTACTTTTACAATTTTAACATTCAATTTTAAAACTTACTCCATGCAAAATTACTTTCTCGGTAAAATTGATTCAATTTTCTTTGTAAAAATGTTTGCTCAACTTTATCTAATTCCATTGTAAATATTGATACCGAGATGTTAAACGAATTTCGTAACTATTAATTAAAAAGAACGAGTAAATTTTACTTTTTGTGCGAATAAAACATAGGTGAAAATTGATTTTCAAACGTCCTGACCCTTTCATCAATAGTTGATGTCATTATATATAAAGTCAAAGCTCCCACAGATGTTAAAAGTTGAAAAGCACATGGAACTATTACTTCCCATTTTGTCTCAAATTGGCCACAAATTTCCTCAATTAATCTCCATAACTTGAATTAAACATTTGTTTGAATTAATTTATAAAATGTAAAAAGCTGTACTCACCGAACCTATAAAGAAAACTAAGAAGGTTACTATTATGAAAGACCTCCCAGAATAGCATAATTTTTTATTCATCCAAGGCCATACAAAAACCGATTTTAATAATATAATATTCCAACGAAAATGAAGATTCAAAAATCTTTTGGTTTTTAAAGATGCAAAATCGTAATCATCGATAACCTTCGAGTTGGCTGACATTTTCGAAGTTTTTTCAAAAATGACGGAGGCAACCAAAAGTATACCAATAGAGAACACGTGGGATTTCGTAAGCTTGTAGGTCTTAAATTTATTATTTAGGCACCTTTTGAATTGAATTGTAAAGGTAAATGCATTTTTAATTGTAATTTTATTTGCAAGGTTCAAGTAAACATTTCTGATACGCTTTTTTGTGTCGTAAATTTCACTTTTTTTTCACCTCACCTCACTTCATGGTACCGAAAAGTTCTTCGATCTCCAAATGATGATCATAATAAATTTCACTTTTTTAGTGGAATTCAAATAAAAAATTTTTTTATGATCTCATGAGTCGAGTTTTTTAACTTCTTGAAGAAATTGGTTCGACGAAAAATAAATCAAGTGTAACTAATAAATCATTAAACGTATAAGCTTAAATTTTAATTTGTTCAGCTGTCAAAAAAATCAATTCAAAATTTTCGTTGCATATAGGTACGGAATAGCATTGAATAGATATTAATAAGAAAAGAGACTATTTTAGCCACGGGGTAATTTTGACTTTAAATTAAAATATCTTTTGTACCTCGTTTTTGTCTTCATGGAAATACAGACGACACAAGCTGAGCTCTCAGAGCTCTCCAGGCAGCTAGACTTCGAGGAAAATCATTTTTACTGGCTAAAGAAATTTCTCAAGTTCGTTTTTTTGTGTCCGGTGCAGCCAAAAATTATTCAAAAATCGGGAAGAGCCATGATGCACTCGACCTTTATTTTTTCAATAACAGTGACGGTAATTGTTAAAAAAGAACCTCAACTTTACCACGAGTAAAATTTAAATAATTTGCAGTGCACCAAAGCTTACAAAGAATTATTTGTAAATGAAATATATCCACCAATGCTGGCAGAGCTTGCTTTTCAATTGATCGTTTTGTCGACCACTTATATTATTTATTTGCAAGCAATAGGTATGGAAAAAGAAGTAAGAATCCGAATTCAATCATTGAAGAATCCGAATGATCCTAATAGGCTGAAAATTTTTTTTTATGCATCGCTCCTATAACTAACGCAAACTTAGCTTTACAGGATGTGCGAGATCATAACAATCGACTGGCTCGGTATCAATGATCCAGAGGAGAAGGATATCATGAGGGTGGTGTGCGAACGAGGATCTCGCCTGATATTCATACACTTTGGCGTCTTGCTACCGTGCTTCATGGGTTACGCATTTGCTCCGGTGGCTTTGCCGTACATTCTCAATCGTTACTTGCCGGAAAACAAGACCCTCAAGAGATCCCTCTGCGTTCACGTCGAGGTGTTCATCGATCAGGACAAATATTTCAACTTCATTTTATGTTTTGTTATACACATGATTATGTTGGTTCTGCTGATTACCTGTGCCCTAGATTTGGCCTACACGTCTTGCATCACTTACATCATGGGCAAAATCATATGGATAGGGTTGAGTATATTAAAAACAAATCATTTGAAGATTTTAAACTACAAATGATAATTTTTTTCCTGCTGCCTTTCATTCTTCTTTGTTGCAGACGAGTTTTCGAAAAACTTAATGAAGTAAACATTTATGATCAGAGCCCGAGTTTGAAACAAAAAGCAAACATTTACATTCATCAAACTGTTATCGGATTGATTAAACGTCATCAAAAATGCTTGGAGTAAAATATGTCGTATTGAAAATTAGTTTGAAGTTTTATCTTAAAACAATAGTGTAACGAGTAAAATTTCATTTTAAAGTTTTTCTCAAACGTTGAACGACGCCTGTAGTCCCAAGTTCATTATTGTCGTGGCATCCTTGGTGATTTTATTAAGTTTATCCGGATCTATGGCAAGTTAAATCATAGTTGAACATATTTTAGCATTAAAATTAAATCCAGTATTACGTTTAATTTTTTTCATGCTACAGGCAGTCGTTGAACTTTCTTATGACGTAAGTAGTGCTGCTAAGATGACCGTAGCTTTTACAGTGTTATTGGTCATAGTACTAGTAATGTGTTACCCTAGCCAACTGATGCTTGATGCCAGCCATGATATATATTTCAAATGGTATTCTTATTATTCGTAAAAATCATGATTACTTTAACACAAAAGATTTAAAATGTTGTTCTCCAGCTACTCCAGCAAATGGTACGAGTATCCAGTAAGAACCAGAAGACTATTGATTTTGATGATGATCAAAGCAGCTGAACCTTGTTGTATGACGATCGGACCCACAACGCCTCTTAATTTTAATACAGCGGGCAAAGTGAGTCCTGATAAACACAAAACCTTCATTTCTAATAGCTTCTCCGCTAAATTTCGTATTTTTTTTTAGATAATCAAAACGGCTCTGTCATACGTTACGACGCTGGTATCACTGTGTGCTCTCTAAATCTATTAAATTTCCTCACCTATGTATCCTTTATTACATACGTAACAGGCAAATTTACCGTTTAAGTTTGACCGCCTGGTGACAGACGCGTTATGGGTCATGTCATGCACACAAGTTTCATATAATTTATGTAAGTTTTTTTTTTATTCAACTATGTTCCCGTTGAGAAGTTCACTGAAAGTTTACTGTGTATTCACTGTAATTGTTAGTAAAATCAGCAAACATTTCTCACTTGATATGGTTTATTAGTAAATTCTACTGAAAATTGTGTAACTTCAGCTTAATTTCCTATTCGGAGAAAAAAACTTTAAGAAAAGTGTATGATCAGTTTTTTATTCAAATCATAAAAAAATCTATTTTGGCTACGAAAATATATTTTTTACGCGGGTACAAACGCATCAGCCATCTCGACGAATAGAAAATTCACGTACTATAACTTTGTACATAAGTTTATTCGAAATAATTCCATTATCGCTTTTCAAAAGTCAATAAAAGAAGCTTCAAGTTACGTTTTCATTTCAAACGAGATCATCTCAACGTTCCGCTATAAAAAACGTAAAAAAAGTCTAGCGAGTCGTATTCGTTCACTTTTAGCTCACATTTACGTATACCATAACGAGAGTCGCACAATTTTCGGTCAATCGAGAGCTCTCCAGCGCGATTCTCGTTCTCACACATATGTAGCTCGACGCGGCACGTGCAAGGCGCGAGAATTGAATTATCCTCGTACTTTATTAAGATTAAGATTTCACTCTCGGGGCGCGCGCGCATTACTGAAATAATCTTAAATTTTCTCGCTCTCGAGAAACCGTGATATGGTCGCACACACATACATGCCACAATACTCATTCACTCGGGGCAAAAGTGGCATGAGCATCGAGTGCAATTCTCTTCTCCTATATCACACGTATAGTGCAGCGCGTGAACATCGGGCAGCAGCAGCAGTCCAACTTGTGTGTGTGTGTGTGTGTGTGCGACTCCGCCCGCAGTACGTACACATATATACGCAGCGCACGGGCCATTATTTATGCGTCCATTATGAAAATCTACGCGCTCGACTCTCTTTCGCTCGACTCACACTCGCCCTTTCTAAGTTCGTAAATGTGTGCGTATGCATATTATACAGCGGAGAAACTGCGCGACTGCGGTCGTTATATTGTGCTCGAGACGCGAGCGCACAAACGCATGAATTTATATCCTTAATGCCCGTACATGGCACATAACGAGATATAGCTACTCGTCGCGCGCGTATACCCGCGTGCTATATTATAATGCGCTTGTTTCACGCTCTTTCGGCCTTTTACGCGGCACTTTTTAATTGCGAATTTTTACATTCGATCTCTTTCTGGGCTTCGTGAAAATCTGCATCGACCGACTCGACTGGTGCACCGCCACGAGCGCGCGCGCGCGCGCGGGAGCAGAGCAGTGTCGGCTTTTATTCTAATTTAAACTCCGCGCCCGTTGAAGTGTACCGATAAAAAACGAGCCTCATCAATTGCTCTAAGTACTAACAAGCCTTTCTCTCTCGCTCTCTCGGTATCTTTCTCTCTCTCTCTCCGTCTGACTGCACGCGGGTGCGAAAAAACGATATATGGCGCGTGCTGCTGCTGCAGCGTTGGACTCATTAAGCCTGCAGTGCTCGGTAGTAGCAGTGGCGCGCCGAAAATAAAGGTGGCGATAGTCGATGATCGGCAGTTAATTTTAGTGGCGCGCGAACAGTACGAAGCGCTCGAGGTTTAAAGAAGAAGAAGAGAGAGGAGCCAAGAGGAAGAAGAAGAAGAGAGGCGTAAATCCGCGAACACAATCGGTTCGTCTAGCAGCGATCGCTCAACGTCCGCAGCTACAAGACGCTCTTCGGCCCCGGCCAAACACGATCGCGCTCATGCACTTTGCCGGCGAGCGAGCGATATTTAGGCAGCGGTAGATACGAGTCGGCTTATATGGACACAAAGCCGCGCAAGCGGGCTGCAACCAGAAGCTGCTGCGGCGTCTCGAGGGAGGAGGAGGCGAGGAGCCACATGTTGCACGCGCAGAGTCACGCGGCGATGCGTACGGAGAAACGCGAATTTATTGCCGAAAATGAAATGATACTAAAAGTGTATACTTGATTTGCAGAGTTTAAGTTTGAGTGCGACAAAGATGATATTTAATTCGATGAGTACGGATTTAAAAGCTCCATTTAATTGAAAAATATCGTATAGCGATTACATTTACTTAAGTACGTAAGCCCGTAAATTAATGAACTTAAAAAATTAAATTTTAGAATAATATTAAATAAATCCACAATTATTAGTAAAAAAAATACGAATGAATAGCTGTTATTTATAATTGCATAACGGAGATCTAGATGAATCAATGATAGGCAACCGTGTAACATAAGTGGCATCGGACAATCGACGTGGTCTGTATAACGACTCCCCGATAATTTTCCGATAGGACGAGACTCGGGTGAATTTCTCGACCTTTCCGCACAGATCGAACTCCGAGTAACTGCTGATACCGATCAGCGTATTTGTCTTTATATCGACGAGCGGTCCACCACTGTCACCCTGAAATTCGTATTTAATTAAATCGAGTCCGAAAGAAAAATGCATTTGATTATTAATGAACGTTAGTCAACGTACTCTGCATGCTCCTGCGTATTTACGATTGACAGGAGAGACGCATACTAGATGGTCCTCGCAGGGCTTGATTCCGGGAGCAACGTAGTTGATCTGTCCCACACTGTACCGTAAAATCGGACTCGCACCGGATTCCGAAAGTAACTTTCCGTTTGGGTCTATTTTTTGTTTGTAAATACCGAAACCCGACAAGACAGCGATTTGTGTAGAATTTCCTGGCAGATACTGATTTGGCTTCGCTATCCTGATCTTACCTAGTCTATCGTCATTGAGAGGGAACGGCTCGCTCAACTATTATATCAAGAGGAACGAGATCGAAACGTTAAATTCGATGAATAATTGTTCGACAGTTCCAAGCGACTCACCCTCAAAATTGCTATGTCGTTCGCTCTGTAGCCGGTCTTAACGTAATCCGTAGGCATGAAGACCCACTTGGCGCTGCGGTACACGCCTGATCCCGGTTTGCGCAGATCCACCGTGCCGGCCACGACGCTGATCGGGTCAAGGATAACCAGTCTGGTGCGATTGTTTACGACGCAGTGGGCCGCCGTGATGACGTGATATCTATCGAGTATGCTGCCACCGCAAAAATGTCGAACGCATCCATCCCATAGTGAGACACGTTGAAGGGACACTTGATACTTGAATTGCTTTTCACGGGCGACATCGCCACCGACTATTCGTTGTATTATTTTCGCTGAAACTGAATTTTTGGGAGAAAATAGAATCGATTGCAGAGTGGAGTTTGTTTGGATAAAACGGGTGGAAAAAAGAGAAAAGCTCACCATTGCTTACTGCGGCGATCAATAGCAGTCCCAATAACAAACTCCTTAACGATGTTTTCGACATCTTGTTATAGCTTACTAGATTATGAGTATTATTAAAACTGACACAAGTTGATCTGCATCATTAAAGCTTCAGAGTTGTTATACGTTGAACGATTGTCATATTATGTATTCATATTTTTCTTGACTTTTGTTTTAATCTACCTGTAGGTTTTTTCGAGAAATAAAATGCAAACATAATACAAAATAATGTCGATTTTATTATGCTACATTGATGAATGTGATGATTTAAGATTTGAATAAAAGGACAATAAAATGAAAGCCAAATAAAGAGATGAATTTGTAAGGTGCAAGCAAAGTTCAATGATCAAATTAGTATTTGCAATTCTGTCAGCTCTCTCATGCGTGAAGGCTATGTAAAATCTGTTTCAATACGACTAAATTTTCATTGGTGAAGGTATGCTTATCATCACAAGTAAATACCATTATTGGCCTTTCTTTTACAAGCAAAACTGATTACGGATGACAATAAGTGTTCAAGTTTGATTTGAATATAAACCGATTTTTAAAGCTATTGTCTGAATTTCAATTAGACGTGCAAGATTTCATTCATAAAAAAATTCCTCTCGCTGTCCGAAACTAATTACAGTTTTTTACCAACAATTTATCCTTCAATTATAGTTTAGAAAAATTACAAATCTTATTTAATACCTATGTAAGTGCCGGCGTCTATAGTTATTCTGAAGTAAAAAAATGATTCCTCGGAATCCCATATTATTATCTTAGAGAATTCAATTTTCTTTAAATTTCTTTTTTTTTTAATCTTACGATTAATGAGCCATATGAGCTGAAATATATAGGCGTTTTTTGGCGATTTCCGCTTATCAGACGCTAGTTTAAGTCATAAATTTAATAAATTTGTGCACGACAATTGATGAACCATGAGTACGCAACATGAATTTTTAGACATATAATCATCGAATATCAAAAATTTTGTTTATCATTTTTTATTCAATTTTTTTTTTATAATTTATACAAAATAAAATGATTAGAATTTAACTAATAAAATTATTAGAACAAAGTGAAGAATCATAAACACTTCCGAATGAATAGTGGTTTTATTGTTAGTTGCAGAGAGGAAGCGTGGGAAAAATAAGTTCATGAACATGCTTGAACTGTATACCAGAAGTAGCTGTTCTAAACTGCAAACTCCGTACATCCTCAATGAATTTCAGATAAGATGAGACTCTGGTAAATCTCGTCGTTATTCCGCATTGGTCATAATCCGAACCGCTTGTGACACCGATCAGGGTATTTGTGAAATAATCGACGAGCGGGCCGCCACTGTCGCCCTGAAATTTGAGAAAAATGTTTAAAAATATTTTTAAAAAGAATATAATTTGATTATTCATAAACGTATGATCAACTTACGAAGCATGTTCCTGACAATACTCCAGGAGTCACACCTTGAACACAGACTACCGTGCTTTCGCAGACGAATTTAGGATCAAACTTGTTTATGTATCCGTAAACGAACTGTAAAAATGGAGTGCTACCAGAGTCTATTAATTTGCCGTTTACCAGTGTTTGTTTCCAAGCGCCAAAGCCAGACATAACGGCGGGTGGTGAATACGGTGGCTGATACTGATTGGCCGTCGGTAACTTGATTGCACTTATTCTGCCATCCGTGTGCAACGGCAACGGATTTCTCAACTAGTGTCAAAATGTAAAAAGTCATAAATTAATTGAAAACGTCATCGGTTTTCTTTTAACAATTCCAAGCAGCTCACCCTCAAAATCGCTATATCATGTATTAATTTACGAGTTTTTTCATAAGCTTCAGGCATGTAGATGTACTCGACATCACGATAGATGCCGGGTTTCCGGGTTTTATCCTTCAGATCGTCCGTTCCAGCCACGACAGTAAATTCTAAATTGTTGAATTTATGTGTGTACTTGTCAGTGACACAGTGAGCGGCCGTGATGATGTGATACTCATCGAGTATGCTGCCACCGCACCAATGATAACTGCAACCGTCTGACGAGAGTAACTGAAGAGATACTTGGTACTTGAATCGTTTACCATCTGCTCTTGAGCCCCCGATTATTCTTTGTTTTATTTTCGCTGAAACTGAATTTTTGGGAGAAAATATAATCGATTCCAGAGTGAAGTTTATGTAGATAAAACGGGTGGCAAAAAGAGAAAAGCTCACCATTGCTCACTGCGATGATTAACAGCAGTCCGAATAACAAACTCGACAACGATGTTTTCAACATCTTGATCGAGCTTACTAAATTTTGAGTACTATCAAAACTTACACAAATGGACAGAAACTTTGATCTACACCATCAAAGCTGTAGAGTTGTTATACTTTAAACGATCTTCGTAATGGATATTTATATTATTTTTTCTTTTTAATTTGGATCGTGGGATTTTTTGGGAAATGAAATGAAAATATAATTGAGAGAAATCTGTAATTGGCTTGAAACAATGAGCGGCATGTTTTAGATGAAATTTTGCACAACCTATTGAACTTTTGACAAAAGCTTTGAAACAATAAATTCAAACATACCAAACTGAATAACTATTGTCAGTTTCTATTGAAGAAGAAAAAACATTTATGTTATTGACTCATGGTGATAAGCACACCTTAACCGAAGATGATAAATTAATCGTAATAGAGTAGATTTTACTCACGAGAAAGTTTACTGAATCACAAATGCTAGTGTGCTCATTAAAATTCACATGCACCATTAAAATTGATTTCCTAGTCTTTTATGCAAAATGTTGCTATCAAAGGTATAATGAAATGATAATTCCTTCATTCATTGCTAAATTGAAGGAGACTTATTATTGTTTGAGTGAACTAGAGTGTTAAAACAATACGAACATCTAAAAGAGAGTGAACAATTAATTTTTATATAGATTTTAACTGCTACAAATGTCAAATGTGAGACAAAAAATTTAATAAATTTTCTTCTCAGCTTTATTATAAAGCTCTGTGTAAAATTTCAAAGATAAAATTGTACTCAGGCTACACTTATTTCATTGAAAAAAATGCAATATTAATTGGTTGTAAAGTTCAGATGCAGACTGTTGTATTGACACTTGCTGCGTCTACATTGGTTTCACAAACGAAATTGAGAGCGATAAAAAAGGAATTTCACTTCAATAATGCGTTGCTCACCACGAGCATGCGACTGCAATGATATCGTGCTATATCCACTTACAACGAAACATGTTCTGCTGCATGTGCTCTAATCAAAGTACGAGTACTTATCAATAAATAACGTATATCGATTTACTGCTGACTCGAGATTTTCAAACAACGCCTATATTTATTTTGAATCCAAGTAATTTACTTTTGGGCAAAAAATAATACATTTTTGCGTAAAAATCAGTGAACTATACATTAGTACGTAACATTAATCTTTACACCATTGAACACTGAACATCAAAAGTATTGTTTATTTATTTTATTTTTTTTTTAATGATTTGTACAAAATTAATTGATTAGCGATTATAAATGATTAAAAGAATATAAATCAAATCTAGAATTATAATGGCTCATTTTCCGTGCAGTGACGATATTGGAATAAGTTATATTGATATGTTAACTTTTTGTTGACCATATTATACAAATTATAACTTCGTACATTCTGAATGAAGTTCAAGAAGGACGAGACTCTGGTGTATACGCTTGGTCGTCCGCACTGTGTATAATACGAACCACTGACGACGCCAACTAAGATGTTTGTTTTGGGATCAACGAGCGGGCCGCCACTGTCACCCTGAAATTCGAGTGAAATTTGTGAAAATATTTTTAAATAAATACGACTTCATAACCGTATATTATTAATAAATGTACATAATTAATACATGAAAGATTAACGTACGTAGCATGATCCTCCCAAATTTTTGCCATTCCCATTTTGAACGCAGACTTGTGTGCTTTGGCAGACGAAATTTTCATCAATCTGGTTGATCCAACCCCAAACCCATTGTAAAATTGGACTGGTAGGAGATGATTTATATTCACCGTTTACCGGTGTTTGGTAGTCAGAGCCAAAACCGCTAATCTTGACGGGTACTGAATTAGGTGGCAGATAATCATTTGGCTGTGGTAACTTGATTGCGCTTATTTTCGGATTAGACCTGAGAGGCAACGGATCCTTCAACTAGTGTCAAAAAGTAAACCAGTAAAAAATTAAATGAAAACCCGATGAGTTTTTTATTAAGGTTCTCAGCGACTCACCTTTAAAACTGCTATATCGTTTTCTAAATTTTTCTGCGGGTACTGGAGCCAAGCGGTAGGTATGAAGACCTCATCGACAGCGTGATACAAGGCGGGATGTGATTGTTTTTTGTGCAGTTGGGACGTACCGGCCACGACGGTAATTGGAATATTGTTAAGTCGATGGGTATTCTTTTCGGTGATGCAGTGGGCGGCAGTGATGATATGATACTCGTCGAGTATGCTGCCACCACAAAAGTGGTGGGTGCAACCCGATGTTGTGAGGAATTGAAGAGACACTTGATACTTTAAGTCACCATAATTTGCTCTTGAGCCCCCGATTATTCTTTGCTTTATTTTCGCTGAAACTAAATTTTTAGGAGAAAATAGAATTCATCGTTGTGGAGAGTTAATTTAGATAAAATAGGTGGAAAAAAACTCACCATTGCTCACTGCGATAATTAACAGCAATCCGAATAACAAACTCGACAATGATGTTTTCGACATCTTGAACGAGCTTACTAAATTATGAGTATTATTAAAGCTCTCCTAAGAGGACAGCTTTGACCCGTACCATCGAAACTGTAGAATCGATATACTTTGAACGATTTCCATACTGAATATTTATATTTTTTTCTTCATTTTAACTTGGATCAAACAGTGGGATTTTTTGGAGAATAAAATACAAATATAATTTAGAGAAATGTGCAATTGTATTGAAACAACGAGGGGAATTTTTTTAGATGAAATTTTGCACATCTCATTGAACTTTTAACAATAACTTTGAGATCATAAATATAACATTTCAAAATAAAACACCTTTTGTCATTTGTAATCAGTTTTGATTGAAACGCTTAAACCGATGACAATTTATCGCACTGAAATAGATTTTACGTAGCCTTCTTCATTCTCGAAAAAGCGGAATTGCGACTACTAATTTGATCATTAAACTTTAATTGCATCATTAAAATTGATCTACTCGTTCGGAACTTATTTTAGTGCAAAATATGTTTTAAATTGCCATCAAAGATATTATGAAACGACGATGCCTTCTGGTTCCATTTCTTGCTGCATCGAAGGAGACTTATTATTGTTTGAGTGAAATTGAGTGTCAAAACAATACGATTATATCAAAAAGAATGAGCAATTAATTCTTATAGCCGATTTATTTCATTCTTCGAGGTGAGCATAGGATGGCTACGTGGAGCGCAACCCACGCTCCTCGATAGGCCGAGCTCTAGAAAGGTCTTTTACATTCATTCCTTACATTCTTCCTTCAAAATTTGCCACACTCACACATTTATACTTCGTGAGAGACGTAAGACTGCGATTCTAGCGCTCGATAAACAGGAACAAATATACCCTCGACGCGGCCAATAATAATGCATTCGAACCGAATGATATAGAATAATATACAACTATAACAATGAGTCGTTGGCGGTTCCCATGGTGCATATCTCGGGGCCCCGATACAACGCGCGAACACCCATCGAACTCGCGGTAAATAGCTCGTAAACTAATACACAATGTCGAACACGCCGTCGAAACATGCGCCCATACACGTGTGTATGTTTGTACCTTACGCACAAGCATATCGGCTCTGGACCAAGATCATCGCTGCCGCATAATATGCTGTACGAGCCCGCGCACTTTTACACTCCTACGACATCGACATGCGAATAAGCCTATGTGTACGAGCGTGTTGCACCCCATATGTATAAATATACTCTAAAAGCTCGGATCTCGATATGCCGAGAGAGAGAAGAGTTGCCTGTGTACGCGAGCGAGCGAGCCCCGACACACATCCAACGCCGCACGGAGAGCGAAAGAAAGAGGATCGGTGTTAACACGAGCACAAAACACTATCTTTCATCGATGCTCGTATCGATATGCGTGTATGTGTGTGTGTATTTCTACCTTGTACGTAAGTCAGCCTTCGAGCGCGCCTATGCGTCGAAATTTTTCGACCTCTCCGTGGACGAGGTGTGTCTGTCTTTTTAGCGATTTTTTTCAACTCGAGCGCGTTTTTTATTCTCGTATATGTTACAATAGCGCGATCGGCCACGCGCACGCACGCGCGCAAGAAAATAAAAAAAAAAAAAAAGATTTATTCGATACGATACGCGAGCGAGCTCGATCAATTTGTACGATACGTCCGCGAGTATTTTATATTATATTATATACGTGTGCCGATCGTCGACGCAGGTGCAAAATCGGCACGAGGATATACACTCCATTACCGAACGCGCGTCTCGATTATTGCGGGCGCTTAGAGGCACGAACTGCCCTTGTGTACGTGTGCGCGTGTATCGATATTGAATTTATATTAGTGCTCAATTACGCGCGACGACCGCAAGAAAGCGACATGTTCGTTTTTTTTTTGCTTCTGTCGTCGTTATTTTTTCCTTTGAAGGAAATCAATTAAATTTTCCGTCCTCTTGGGGATTGATGAAAATTGTATGGGGAGAAGAGAGATTGCATTTCATTGAAGTTCGTGAAATATTTGAAAATTTCAATGAATCTCAGTAGAGTTCTACTCCGTCTATTCAAAAATATATCGCTGTAAAATTCGATAAAGGATAATGGAGTAAAAAATGTACGACAAGCTTCGAACCTTACAATCTGACCTGAATACCCGATGAAATCGCATTTAGTTGTCCAATAGCAAATTAAAGGTACGGAAAAGTCGATCGGGTGATAAATAAAAAACAATTCGACCCAGTTAGCCTTTACTTTATGCGGTAGCGCGACGTTTAACAGCAGCAAAAGTCGATGTCAATGTTATTAGATGACGATTAAAGTTCAATCGCTGCTTCGTTACGATAACTTCTCTTTAAAATATTACAACTTCACTCAAATTCAATTGTCTCAATTGATTTCGGTTGAGGTTTTGAAGGGGCCATCGTAAAGCAATTCTAAACATCAAACAAATTGTCACTTCCTTTTTTTAATTTTTTGTGATACGCATAGAGATTAGTTCAGAAATTCTTGGCAGAATTATGATCTCAAGCTTCGGTTGATGAAGCTCGCTTCTTCATAGGATTATAACTTCTAAGCTTCAGATTCGCAATCTTCACAGTTGAAATTCATCATCTCAACCATTTAATCTCGAGCCGGTGGGTCATACGTCGTTATCGCATTAGCATATCGTTGCTTTCTTTGCTTAGACGAGTCATTAAGCTTGGCGAAGTTCAGATGCATCCAAAAATATAGAATATGAGAAATATCGCACCCATTACAGCCAGACGGATCTAGCTTATTTTAATAGAAAAATAAATCGAGAAAAGGCATCGAGACAAATAAATAAATAAACAAACGAAAAAAATCGTCGCTTTTTGATGTACGCGCAAAAAGCTAAATTAGTCGTGTACGCGAAAATCTATTCTCTCTCTCTCTCCTCCGTGGGCTTTTCTTTTACACGTCCCCGAACGTATCCCGAAATAATTGGCAAAAGAAAGACAGCGAACAATGTGAATTATTCGAGACGCCGCCGCAGACGTCAACCGAAAATCTTCCTCGCTTCCAGAGAGAGAAAGAGAGTGAGAGAGGGGGGGCAACAACTCCACAATGAAAGTAAAATGAGACGAATTTCTATGCGTCACTATAAAAGCGTCGTTTTACTCTTTTTCCATCGTGCGGCGTGTGTTGTGGTGTACCCCTTTAAGAGGCCCGACGAATGATCGATCGCAGAAGAGTCGCAGCGAATGAATGTACTCAGATGCGTATGCAGCTATATAATGTTTTAGGAGAAAACAAATACATACACAATGTGCAAAGCTTCTTTTGCTTAAATCACGAGGAATTCTTCATTCTTACTGAGGGAGGGGCTATTGGACTATTAAAATCTAAGAATTAGATTAATTAAGAATATTTATAATAGCTTAATTTGTAATTGTTATAACTGTGTAAACAAAAACATTTTCACGTAAAATGCATGTATTCTATTGAGAGACACCGTCGACAGGCTAGTTCAGACGCAAACACTAGATGGCTTACACGAATAAAGATGTAAACATGCTAGGAAATTAATCATAAAATAAAGATAAAAGAGAGAAGTTAAGCTTAATGAAGTTCGATTGTGTACCTTTTTCTTCGCTAGGAAAATATTTAGTATTACTTTTCAGCAGGCACAGAGATTCTACGTGTTAATTGATTGCACTGCATACTATACGCGAGACAGCTCAATTAAAAAATTGTCAAATATTGCCTCCGTTTCATTTACACACGAGGAACACCATCGATCGAGATAATCCGCAAATTCATGCGGCAGTGCAATATTACATATTTGCAAATAGGAATTATGAGCGGCGCGCCCTCGCTCTAACTATACGCAGAGGGCCTGCGCTCCGATACGTACGAGGCTCTCTCTCGGTCTCGCGTACACATTTACAGACTCGAGTGATTTATCGAGTCGGACTCGCGGTGCGGATCGATTTAAAACTCTCGACTCGTTGGCATTATATATAGGCCGAAAATAGAATTACTTTTAATGCGCTCGCGAGGGGTTATATAGCATGCGTACGCGCGCGTATGTAGGCCCGCACACACTGTTAATCACCTCGTCTTCGACGTAATTATCTCCTTAGCCGCGTGCGGTGTGCTCGGGCAGCAACTCGCGCGCGAGGAAGATCGCCAAACGATGATGATCGCTTTTGGTCTCGAGTCTCGATCTGCGGCAGCCAACGTATATACGTGTACGCGCGAGCACGAATGCACCTGGTCCCGCCGTGCTCTACTCTATATACTCGGCTCTTTTGTGCGCGTATATAGAGGGCTCGATCGGCTAATGCATTTCCCTCGTGAATGAAATTGCCATATCGCGCAATTTCTCTCTATCCGTATTTCGATTCTCTCTCTCTCTCTCTCTCTCTTGCATACACGCATGCCCCGTGTAGCGACTTATGTTGCCAAACGATGATGTACGCGAACGACGACGCGACACGCGTCGTTTTATAACTTGTTCGAAGCGGCTCTAATGCGCGTTTGTAATGGGTGGAAAATGGCCTCAGGATCTCGCGTGTAAGCGCGTTTCAAGTAGGTCGAGATTCGCCTTCGAGATAAAAAAACTATATAGGTGTCTGCGTATCGAGATTTCCCATATATATACCAATGCTGCAGCCGTATATGAGACACTGCCGATCCTGCCGATCGATGCAACCGCCGTCGCGATCATTGAAAATTAAGCCGTAAAAAGTCGCGTACGTACACGCGCGTGCGACATTAATATTTATATAAGTCGCGGGTTGGGTCGCGCTCGTACAGGCTATAAAATAAAATATAATATAGCGCCATAATGTCGCGCGTTTATTGAGTTTATGAATAAATTAGCGGCGCGCGCGAGCAACAATAAAAATACACGCATACACGTGTGTATGTCTGTTGCTGACATCGCGAGTACACGGCGCAATTGAAAGATTTGAGAGACTCGTCGACTCCGCTGAACTATTACGCGTCGGGGCTATTGGCGATCGTGCTAAATGAATTTTCGTACGACTCTCTCGGTTATA